GGTATAGCTCATGGCTTCACTGAATTACGCAAGCCCCTTCGCCACGACAAGGCAGTGATCCGTGAAGGGGATTTAAAATATGCCTTTTTTCAAAAAGAAGAGAAATTCTTAATGAGTGTGGAAGCAGGACAGTGCAGACGTTGCCCAGATTCATTGGTGCTCCTGTTCCTAGAAAGTAAAAAATAGTTACATTTTCCAGGTAGTGATCTAAGCCATAGATCTAATGCTTGGTTTCCCCCTTTGCATTCAGTTACTAGGCTCATGCATCGCTCTAAGCCATAATCCGGTTTTTGTCTTAAAATATTGAGGGAGTCCATCCACTGGGGCTTGTCAACTATGATTTATGACTTAGCATGCTGCGTGAACTCAACCAATCATGACTTATTCAAGAAACCCTGGTTAAGCATAATGGATAAACCTCACCATTGGGATTTATAAACCATGATTTATGGTTTAGCATTTATTATTTGTATACTGTCCAAATTGCACATCTCTGGTGTGGCATAAATGCTGTCAACTGTGGCTTATTTGACAAATCATTGCTTTGTACAATGTGTGAAGCGAGCCAATGTGAACATGTGCATCAACTGCTTAATTCTGGTAGGTGAGCTATGTATGTATTGCCAGATTTATATCCTGCTTTTCCCCCAGGAGCTGAAGATAACTTGTATAGGGATCTCCCTTCCCTTTGATCTCTCTAACAATTAATCTGCGAGGTAGGTGGGCTATGTGAGATTGACTTGGCCTCAAGTCACTCAGTGAGTTTCTGTAGCTGTCAGCCTTGCAAGGTAGTCCAGATAGGAAGCATGCCCAGATGAACTAAATATATTTTATCAGACCATTTCCCACTGTCTCCCAAGGTCATTCCCACATACCATTACCTCATCTGAGGGTGAACTTGGTTGGGCCTTCCTAGGTCTAGGGTAGACCAACATCTTATCTTGGCTTAGAAAAGCCTAGGGATTTCAATGAGCTCCTACTCAACTTCTACACTTTATGTGAACAGGACACATAATCAAGGAGTACCAGGACCTCAATGCCTTGTGGAATGGCAACTACACCACCATTGAACTCCCCTGGCCATATTATGGATGTGGCCACACCATCTATAACAATGCCTTGTACTACCAGCGGGTGGGACGCAACATCGTTGTGAAGTAAGTAGCAGTGATAGCTTGACCATCACAGGTAAGGCAAGAGAGGATCTCTGGAAGGGGGCAGGAGATAGTGCCAAAGCATTATTTAAGCAGTGGCAAATGTTCAACTGGTGAGTCTGTTGCGTTGGGGGTAGTCATATGACTGTCTCATTCAGGGATATCCTAGATTTGTTAATGATAAAGTACCTGTTTGTCTGCAGAAGATCCTGTATCATCCCCCAGCATGTCCAGGTAAAACACTTGCCTAGAAACCTTGGGTAGATGCTGCTGGTCAGTGTGGGCAATACTGGACTGAATGGAGTCTTGATCAGACTCAGTGTGAGGCAGCTTCTCCTGTTCCTATTCTCTTGGACTGTGTGGCCTTCAAGAGGTCATTTCTAGCTTTGTGACTCTATGTCCCATTGTCCACTGAGAGGCCATGTGCTTGTGTAGTATTATTGCTTCCTCCTCTGCAGAAACTGAACATGCATCAGAACCTGGAAGTCTGCTGAGACTAGATGGAAAAATGATCCAGAACAGACTTCTTCCCCCATATTCAAGTGCTCAAGCCTGGGCCTGATGTATATAACCTATGGATCTCCTTCCAGAGGTTGAGTTTAGATTCCAAATGTCAGAATCATTTGGGTTATGCAGAGAACACATCTGTCACTACCACATATCCAACTGTCTCTCTACTGAAGTGTACATTTGCTTAGCCAGAAGAATGCCCTTTGCTGTAACCTGCCCCTCGTTCCATAACTGCCAAAGATCCATCCCTTCTTTTAATGTTGGGTTGACGTTCTACAGTTGATTCAAAGCTCCATGTAGCAAGCAGGGCTGATCTGTCTGTGTGCAATTGTGTGGGAGCTGAGACAGCTCATGAGCTCTGGCTTCAGTGCTCCTGGCTCACAAGGTCTCAGGTGCAAAACATGAGTAGTTTTCTACTCGCTTTTTGATGTGTGAGCCAAGAACAACATCGCCCAGTTTGAAAGCAGGTGTGGGTCACTCCTAGGTCTCTCCCCTTGGAGAGGGGGCCCTAGCAGAGAAATGAAGGAGGGTCCTGAGAGCCTAATTTGATCTGTTAGAAAGCAGACTTGATTATTTAGCAAGATGTTTTAGTTATCCCTGGCCTTCTTAGAAGGGGTTGCCAGTTGGCCATGCAAGAAGCCGCAGACAGGAATTTTCAGCCAAAAAATTAATGATTCATGTGAAGCAGGAAGTTTTGGTTGCTGTTATTTTGACGCATTTGAAGACTGGTGTCTTCTCAGACTTGTAAAATTGTTCCAGGAGGCACAGAAGAGCAAATGGGTGAAGCTTTGGGTAGAATCTGCATTCTTCAGAAGAACAAACGAGCTGTCTCTGTTTCAGATGTTTAGCTGTCCTCCAAGTGTTGTTTTTAATGCTGAGCCAAACCCTCCCCTGCTGTTTCTCAACCCCCCTTCCATGAAAGGACCATGTCTTCTACCTGATTCTCAGGAAGTTTCTGAGCTGATTTTCCAGTTGGGGGGGGGCAAGGTGGAGTTTATTATGATGCATCTTTCAATCGCTCTGAAATCCACCTGGCTGCCTTCACAGCCCAGTCTAAAAAACCTCCTGGGGAGGAATTTATTCATTATGTTTTTCCTTGGGATTTATTAGAAGCTTGAGAAGTGAGGGAGAGCTGCCAGCAAGAGGATAAATGCAGTGACAAGCAGGATATTCATCCACACACCTGGATTGCATTGTCAATACATAAGTGCCATGATATCACCCTCCCACCCATGAGAATTTTCCTCCCCTTTTCCTTTCCTTGGAAATAAAATTTCGAGACCAAACCTTTTCAAGTAGGAAAAAAATGCAAGAGGATTCCTTTGTTTGGCATTGCTTGCTTTTTCTTTTCTTAGCAAGCTAAATAGCAGGTTTGGTTCGCGCTGCGAGATCGGCTCTTCTCAGAATGTTCTGATCTGATTGTCTCTTTAAATTAGGCCCAGGCTTGCAAGCCTCCTAAAATAGTGCAACCCAATTCCAGCTGAGTATCTTTTGAATGGCGTTTCGTGGCTTGCAGATCTCCAGCTGTTCAGGCATCGACAATGTTCAGCAGTTGCTAAGAAAATGGCACGGTGAACCATTTTGAGAGGATGTGTCTTGCCACCTTCTGTGACAGTCAGGAGTTGCTTAGAAGGAGTTAATATTTTTACTCCTCGACTATTTCACAGAACTTGGAAATTGCTAGTCCAACCAGTCCAGCCAGTCCTACAGATATTTCAGCTTCTCTGCAGGAAGAAGAACAGAAGGTTTCTTCTCCCCAGTGTAGGGGGCTGAAGACCTTTGGGGAAATAGTTTTCTCAAGGGCAACAATAATGGCAGCATTTAGGATACTGGTATTTCCCAAGGCTACGTCACAAGGGCATCAGAAAGGTGGGACAGAGGAGTTTCCCTGAAGCATGGCCAGAACATAAGTGCTGATGCTGGTCTGTGAGCTGCCCAATGACTTCAAGGAAGATGGGGCATAGAGGGGCAAGACACTGAAGAAGGTTCCAAGTTTTAGTATGTCTGGAAAATTATTCACAGGTATCTTATGTTCACCTCTTTTTAAAGATGAGTATTATGCCTCCTTAATCTTCCTATACGGCTCTGAGCCAAGGGAGTTTCACAGGAAAATTTAGGAGTCACATGCTGAATTCCTGAGCACTGTGTGATCTGTGTGCTTCCCAACCATGGCCACTTCCAGGTGTGTGGACTTCAACTCCCAGCATTCTCATCAATGACCCTGCTGGCTGTGGAATTCTGGGAGTTGAAGTCCATACGCAGCTGGAGATTGCCAAGGTTGGGAAACACTGTTATTCGATGACCTGTAAGACCTTTCTTACAATGATTCGATGAAAAACAAAACAAATAGATTTTGATTCATTATGGCTCTTCACTTACATCTAAAGAAGATAGAAAGGAATTCGTGAGAGGTGCATTTGTTGTGTCTTTCATTGGTTTTTAAAACCAGTGTGCTCTCCTAGCCTCTTGGGTCATTGTTCTTTGCTCTTTTCCCCAATGTTCATTGCAGGTACGACTTTGAAACAGGGATATCCAAAGCATTGTTCATTGAGAACTCCTGGTACTACGAGCGCATGTATCTTTTCAGTACTTCCAAGTCATACTTCAGCATTGCGGTAGATGAAAATGGACTCTGGGTGATGTACCTTTCCCGGCCTGATGAACACATCATGGTGGCAGAAGTTGAGGAGGAGACATTTTCCGTGCTGCGGCACATCAATACCACCTACCCGCAGTCCAAGGCTGGCAATGCCTTCGTTGCCTGCGGGGTGCTCTATATCACTGATAAGAACCACATGCATGTGGCATTTGCTTTTGACCTCTTGCGAGAGAAGCAGCTTGATGCCCGCTTCGAGCTGAAACTGTCCCTCTCCCTGGAAGGGTTTGAGCAGAAAGTGTCTCCAGCCTCAAATGCAACCTTTGTGCCTGTATTGGCCATGCTCTCCTACAATTGGTTGAATAAGCATCTACATACCTGGGAACATGGGTTTCTGATACAGTACCCCGTCCACTTTCTCATCTGAACACACCTAGTATTAAGATGGGACAGCCACTGGGTCATCCACCTCTACCGTTAAGTAGAGGTCCTGTTTTGAGAATTGCTCTTCTAATTCCCATCTCCTGGTTCGAGAGAGACAAACAAGGAATGTATCAGGATACAGACTGGGCAAATTACAATTGCTGGTGTGTCCATTGAGAGTAGTTAGATCTCAGGGCCATTACCTGAGTTTTCAAGGTTGGGTGAAGCGCTCAGCAACCCTGGGTGCTGCTGGCCTTCCAAATCTTCCAGAAAATGTTACCAATTTAACCACCTGAGACAGAAGGGGAAAACAATCCATCACATGCTTGGAGGGTCATTTTATTAACTATATTTTATGTTAATTAACTTTAAATGTCAATGGAATCTACTTGTGATTTTGGTCCTGGTCCCACTATTTTGTGTGAGATAATTTCAGGCATGCCACTCAAAGACCAAGCGTGATTCTTGGTCTAGAAAAAAGTGGTTTTAAATTCAGAGTTTAACAGAAAGCTGTTCTGAATGACTGTTGGATGGACTGGATGAGGGCAAACAAACTGTAGCTTGAAATAGACAAACCAGGGAACCCCCAGTCAACTGAAAGAGAGATCTAGGAATTGAGTGCTGATCTGTGGTGAGCGTCCTGCTCTTGCCCCACCAGTTCCTCACATCCAATGTAAGACAGGGCCACCTGACTATGTTGGTACATGCTCCCAACTCTTTGAGAAAAGATTTCCTCAGAAAGGCTAGTTTCCTTCCCATAGCCTTTCCATTGGCAGACAATGTTTTTTTTTCATCCAGACAGGTTTTTGGTATTTAAGGTGGCTTGTCTGCATCTAACCAGTTGGGTGTTGTTCTGCATTTGATGCATTTTAATTCATATGTTGTAGATATGTGATTACAGTTCGGTTTTTAGCTTTGTTGTCTTGAATACCGTTTTTGCCAAAAGCAGCTTTCTCTCTCAGCGAATAAGCCTTGAGAAAGAGCTCGCAGAAGTCCTTTTTGGTTCCTTTTCTTACTGAACTGTTGAGTTTTGTTTGCAGTTTCTGTAGCTAACTTAGTTGGACCAGGCTAGAATTGAATTTCCCTAACATTGGGCCTTCCCTTGGAAGAAATCTATGTCAGGATGCAGAGCAAGTTTGATGATCTCGTGACCTGGTTTGTAGAGAGAGGATGAATCTGTACCAATCAGCCCTTATTAAGGCAGTTGTGATAAGAATTTCACATGAACATACTCTGTAATCCTACTGTTGCCTGATAGGGGAATGATCCAAGGCAGGCATATGCCATCCAATAAGTATCTTTGCGTTTGTGTTGCCGCAAAGGCCACATGCTTGCAACACACCAAACTACAAAGCCAAGGTTATGATGGGATAAAAGAAATAATCTTAAAGCATTAGTGGAGTGCTCTGTAGAAATGTGCTTTTCCCACCCCAGGGCATGGGAGCATGTTGGTCAAAGCAAATTTCTCCACCATGCAGTTGTATTCACATGGGTTAAACACACCACCAGTGGCTTTTCTTTATCAATTAGGAGCCTCTTTAAGATATGCTCCTTAATTCTGGACTTCTTTGGTCAAACTCCCTCCTCCCCTATTTTCCCTACAAGGACTTCTTGCCCATGACTTAAAAAAATCAGTTTGGAGCTTCCATCATCTTGCCAGTTGCTGTAGACCAGCCTTTCCAGCTGGGTTCCTTTCCAATAGGTTGGGACTACAAGTCCCAGAATTCTCCAGTAAGCATGTAGGGGGTACTATATTGGGAGCAATCTGCTTTAGACTGGCTCAAAGCTTTCTGCTTGCAGGCTTGCATATTTCTTTCCTCCAGCACCTAGCTATATTTAAAAAAATAAACACTAAAACTAAATAGCATCACCAGGAGAAGGAATTTCAGTTTAACATGGTATCAGCTGGAAGTTGATAAAAAGCAGAAGTTTAAGGTAGAAAGGTTATCCTAATAAGAGGAAAGTTTTTGCCCCCAAAACCTCCCATGCGGATAAAAATGGTGCAAGAATTCCATTAACAAACTGGGGTTCTGAAGTAATTCACTTTTTTTTTCTAGGCAAAAAGGACCCCATCAAAAGCAGGTCTTAGTGTTAAAATAGCCCAAAGCCTCCTGATAAAATGCCAGCTACACACCCCCGAGCTGAGTTCTGTGAAATAAAAGGAATTTATTTAACTTACAAAGATAAAACTAACAAATGAGATTTGCGTTCTTCTCATATACATACTTCACAGCTTGCAGTTAAAATTGCTTTTAGACAAAGGTGCAATTTATCCTATCGGCTTCTGTTTCTCTTGTACAGTACGGCACAGACACAAACACGAGAAGAAAAAAAATACAATTCGTCAACACTGAAATACACAGACATCAGCTGTTTATCTTAGTAAGAATGTGTTGGCTTGTTTAGAACAGAGAAAAATACATCTGACAAACGAGCTAATATATTACAAGCAAACAAGATTGACCTCTGCATAGTTTATACAATATGCTGCGGAAATCGGTTTAAATTTGTCAACTCTTTACTTACTAGCTGGCCGTGTGGAAGGCTGATGTTTATCAAATGTGCATTAGGTGGGTTTGCTACTGGATTCTCCCACAGCATTATTTAGTAAAGTGTTGTGTGTGTGTATGTGTGTGTTTTTTTTCTGGCCCAAATAAAACTCAACTGATGGTGAGAAATAAGCTCTGGTTTCTTGCAAACTTTTGGTGCCCATAATACATTCCTGATGCAAAGGCTGAAAATAAATAGGGGGAAAAGGAGGAATCCAAAAAGTGGAATGTGCTATGAGATGAAGAGTCTTCAGAACAGAGAGAAGTCCTCTTCTCCTGCATCACATTTGCTATAACATCCCTCTCTTGAGAGTATTACAGTGCTTAATTTCCAGCTCTATCCCTCAAGGGCATGGTGAAATGAGGCAGCTCATGTCAAAATATTGCACAAAATTGATTCTGTGAACTGCGTGATGTAGAGCACCCCAGCATTGAGAGTCACTGGAGGAAAAGAGGAAGGATCTCAGCATTAAATAAAAAAGCTCATGAGCCACCAGATCATTTCTCATTGCACATTAGCCCACAAATAGTGCATTCATCACATTGTCATATGACCCAAAGAAATGTTTATGAATAAAAAGAACACCCTAAAAACTGCACTCCCTCAAAACATCCTTATATCCTTTCAAAACCAGAAAAGAAACGGACATGCTTCAATTGAGGGAGTAGGATTTGACAGTTCAAAGAAGGACACTGAGAAAAAAAAGCTTATTTTAGATATTTGCTGCAACTACAAGACTGTAAGCCTCTTTGGGCTGACGTGAGTGAACAAGGCTTTGAGTCAGAAGGCCAACTATGGGTCCCCTGGGAAATCTAACTCTGAAACAGGGCATGCTTTCCCCACCAGCCTCTGTTTGGTAGACCCCATAGCACTGCTGCAGTGCTTGGACCAAGACAAACGTGCGTGTGTAAATCCAAACCTTGCTCTTCCTGCTAATTCAATACTGGTATTACATGTTGCAATAATTTCTTGGAAAGCCAATTGTAGGGAAGCATTCCTTTAACTCTTGATGGAAGGTCAGGCCTTCTTCTGATGGGACAACTGCAAAGGCTACATAATGTCGCAAAGGTTTGAGGGAATATTGAAAGCGTTGGGTAAAACCCGCATCTTGAGAGTGCCGTCTGCTCCACAGGAGAAAATGCGATTGCCTTGGGCCATTTCGATCTGCATGACGCCTGTGCTCAGGTTACGGAAGATTGACTGCTTAGCATGTTCATGTTTGAAGGAATGGATCAAACCATAGCCAGTTAGTCTCCAGACCTACAGTAAGATAACGGTATAGTCAATATCTAGGAGCTGAGTTGTTTAACTTTTGTGGTTAACCAAGCTCAGAGAGCACCAAGGACTCCACAATTCAACCCTGAGCTACTTATATTCTTTTCTATTGTTTAACTATTGTTTGCTGGATTGGTTCAGACCTCATGTCGAGCCATAAACCATGTTTAACCAACACTATTCACCACTGGTCATATTCAAAGAAACCACAATATGGACTTCTGGTTGTGGCAGCCTAACAAACAAGGCAGTTCCACATATTCAGGCCTCTCTTTGTCCAAATTCAGGAATTTGCAACTTTTCCCTTTGAGGGTGAAGCTCAGAGAAATAAAATTGGTTTCACTTCAGTAAGTCTAGTTGATAGGATTACTCCCCATATATTTTAACAACTTTCTCCTCCTGCCAAGTTTATTTATTTATTTATTTATGAGAGTTATAGGCCACCCCAATTGGTCATGACTCTTGGTGACTTGCAAACAACAACAATGAAATAGATTGCTGAAAAAAGTCAAAAGACCAAAAAAACAGGCAAGGGTCAGCCATCCACTCTAACTTTAGGCCTGGGGGCAGACCCAGGAATTAAAGAGCCTCATTTAAATAGGACCAGAATGGGGGCTGTACAAATTTCAGGAGGAATAGAGTTCCAGAGAACAGGCACCATGACGGAGAAGATCTGCTTCCTGAATCCCACCAGGTGACATTGTTTAATCAATAGGACCAAGCACCTGTTGGCTTTATCAGAGCTGCTTGAAAATATCCAAAGAAGAGGCTGTCACCTTCCCTGTAATTAGTTCCATGATCAAATTGCTCTTACTGGTAGAAAGTCTTGACCTTCTTCTGCGTGCCATCCCTTCAGGGACATGAAAAGTGCCATCTTGGTCTTCCCAAAGCCAAACTCCCCTAATTCCCTCAATTTCCTTCCTGTGACTTGGCTTCCAGCCCTCAACCATTCTTGTTGCCTTTCCTGGACAGGAAAGAGGGCAAGCTCACCTTTACGTTGCCTTCTGCAGAACCTGTGCAGAAACACTCTTCTGAGGAGTCCAACGCGAGGGCCTTGATTGCAGAATCATGGGCTTGAAAGGTGTGAAGGGCCTGCCTTTGCCGGATATCAAAGATGGATATGTGTCCTTTCCTGCCTCCAGAAATCAGCAGCTGATGTTTTGGTGCGTACTGAAGCACTGTGGCGCCATGTTCATGACATGTGAAGGCTAAGAGGAAAGACGAACACCCAGACAGTTCTTACAAATTGTTATTAGCCTCAGCTGAGTAACTTAGGAACAAGAGAAATCGGGAATAGCCAAGTGGGTAGAACTAGTATATCTATATCAGCTTTTCCCATCCTGGTATCCTTCAGATATGTTGGAAAAAGAACCTGCAGAATTCTGCAGCCAGCATCTTTGGGCCATATAGTCTGTGGACAATAGTCCTGACACATCTGGAGGGTGGCATGTTGACAAAGGTTGATCCATGCACTAACAAGCACTGAAATCTGTATTCCCATTTTCCAAATGATCTCTCCCAACCATCTTTTTTTTCTAACTACTTCTTTGAAATATATTTGGAATATAAATCAGAGGTAATATTCATACAACATGGCTTGTTTAGCCATTATTTATTGATTAAACCATAGTAATCTGAGTTCATACAACATACTAAACCATAAACCATGATAAACTAGAGTGGTAGGATTCACACAACACATAAATCTACAAACAAGCAAACCCACCTTATGGCTTAGGATGCTTTATGGACCTGGTTACATGCAGAAGGCAATTCTACTTGCTAGCAGGTAGGAAAAAAATGGGTAACCAATATTTGGGGGTAGGGGTACTGTCAGATTGCTGAAGTTACATAATAGTGTGACTATTTGCTGTATCTGTTAGATTTTATACTCCCCTTTCTTCTAATATTAGCTGTGCCAAAATGCAAATTCCAGGCTGAGGGAGCAAGAAAAATTAATAATAAAAATGGATCTGCCTCGTGACGACGATGCTTAAAGGAATACATTCTAATTCTATACATTTCTGCCTCAGGGTAAGCCTGCACACTGAGGTTTTTTTAAGGAAAAAGGGTCCACGTGTAATTGAAAGACTTGTTATCAATGAAGATGGAGCTTATTCCTGGAGTCCACTCTGCTGCTGCTTCTACTGAATTCTTCTGCATCTTCAGAAGAAAATCCAGCAGCCATCTTTTCTTCGGACACCTGGTTGCTCTCATAAATTTTAACATTCTCTGGCCACGCACGGATTATTGTGCTAGAGACTATGTCCTCCTACATGTTTAGCCATGTTTGGGCTCTTATCAAGCTGATTAGCTCATGTTTAGTCTAGCTCAGGGACAGGCAAATTCTGCAAACTCTTGAGGCCATTTCATTCTTCAGGCTGGGGGGGGGGCAGGAAGTCACGGCTTGCTCAGGGAGAGGAGAGGAGAGGAGAGGAGAGGGGGGCGGTAGGTATGTGCCAAGTTCTATAATGACATTTTACAACATATCCTATTGATTTGAGAGGATTTATATGCCACCAAACTTACATCAAAGCAACAATGCTTTGAATGCTTTGAATTACATCAAAGCAACAATGACTATCCATTTAGGGCTGTCATACAATTATAAGCCAATTTGGGAAAAGGGGACCCCCATGCTTGATTTGCAGCATAACTGCAGAACTGGGCAGCAGTCTTCTCACACTGGCTGACACGGGATTTGCCAAGGTCCTCTTAACTTCAAAGATTCTTTAGCTAAATGCAGAGTAAGTATTGTTATTAGATGCCAGATGCCCCAAAACCAGCACACACAACATCCATCCAGGATGCTTCATGAAAATGAAAAAAGGATGAAAACTTTCCATTGTTCCACCCAGGTCAGAGATAGCTTCTTAGTCAATTAGATCTAACAGAAGTTGCAGTCCTGGGCCCCATTCTCTGCTTCATGTCCCTTAAGACTTGATAGGACACTCCTGAGAAGACACCTGTAGAATTGTGCCGTGAATCATCTAAATGATGGAAAGAGTTTCCCACTGCTTTTTCCTGGGATACTTTTCAACTTCTAAGTCTAGCCAGATGTTGTGGAACTTCCTAGTGGGTCTCCCATGTCCAATCTTGCTTAGCTTCCAAACCTAAACAATGCTCCTTGTCCTCAAATGCTGGCAGGAATAACCACAACAGTTTCTTTGTAACGCTACTAAATGACCTGACATGCCTAAAGAGGCGGGAGGATGTGGGAACAGCTACTGAGAAGGCCCTGCTCATCATAGAGCTGACTTGATTACCAATGGCATTAGAGCAAGCCCTCCATTAATTATCTTAACTGCATATGGCAAGTCACAGGGGAGAAGGCGTTGAATGTTCAGAGCTCATGGCTAGAATCAGCTTTTTTGAAAGCTTCAGTTGACTCGGGCCAACTGAACAGGAGAAAAACACGCTTGAAGAAAATAGCCAGTCTTGACTGAAAATCTCCATAAAGTATCTGGCTGAGGACAAAGCAAGGCTTCACTGTGCCCTTCAGAAAGATCCTACGAATAGCATAGGATTCACTTTGGATCACGTTACTTACATCAAGATACGGCAATAAACCTACCATGTATGAGGTTGTTGGATGATGACACCAAGGTGTCCCACAAGCACACATTCCTATAGAAGAAGACATACCCAAGAAAAATACAGTTAGTACTCAACAGTCACCAAGCCCATGGTGGATGACTGGCTGCCCTGCACTTTATTTTCTGAACATACCGGTTGTCATTGGACTGTCCAGATGTGGCTACTAGACTTGAAGAGGTAATGAAGGCAAAGTCACTTGTGGTTTTGCTGTGGCACTGCCAGCTCTGTAAAAGAAACAAGAACAGCAGCAACAGATACAGGGTGATCAGCGGTACGGTACAAACTGCCAATACGAAGTTCAGACTGTCCAGCCATCATATCTTCTCAAGCCAAACAGCTGGAAAACCCATTAAAAATTGCCAGTATATTATCAGCTGTAAAGTACAGGAAATGAAAAGGAGCTTAATTAACACATTTATTTATAATTATCTTTTTTTTGCAATTGCTAGCAATCTAATTAAAATCTGACACTTGGAAAGGACAAGATGTTTTTCCTCATCTCTGTGTACCATCTAAATGGATTTCAAGGATTAGAAATCAATGCACAATTAGCCATCTGTAAGTTGTGTAGCAGATAGGGTCCGTATGGAGAGTTATGAAAGCCCAGATAAATAAGCAAGCAAGCAAAGAATTTTTTTGAGTGGGGGGAGGCAGAAAAACCTGAGAAATAACATTTTTCTTCCAATGCTGGGTGATTCGTTCCTTCCCTCCTTTGAATTTTCCCAATTTTTTGCTCCTCTAGATCTTCAGCACTCTATCAACAAGGTTTAAATTAAAGGTATACATCTTCCAGTGAAGCTGTACCTCACTAGGACAGGTATAGCCTCCGCAATGGTCTTCTGACCTCCAAAGTCCATCAAATGGACACTTTATCAGACGGGAAAGAATGGAATTCAAAATAACAGCCAATTACCTGCGATATCCCCAGGAGTCACCAGATCTAGATTCCAGCAGCACAGAGAGTGGGTAGGGGGGTCTTTATATGGTTCTTACACAGGAGGGAGTCAGAAAATGATGCTGATTTAATATAAATTGCCCAGCAATCTTACTTTCCTGATCCAGCTGATGCCCACCTTAATCAAAACAGACAAGTAGAAAATAAAAAGGTGCAGAATTATCCTGATTACTTACCAGATAGGGTTTAGGATTACTTGAAGTTTGGTTTACTTGCCAAATACTCAAGAATCCCTCTCCATCGGCTACCCCACACTGTAGGAGACAAATTTCACACATTAGTGGCTCTGTGAGTATGTTCCAAAGAGCCACTCATCAATGTTCAATCATCAAGGGTAATTTTACTAATATATATATTTTTAAAAATCAACAGTGGGACCTATTTCTAACTACCCATCATGGCCAACAAATACATCTAAGGTCCCTATCAGCTAATGCAGTGCTGGGTTCATCCTCTATATCCATGTTTCTCAACCTTGGCAACTTTAAGATATGTGGACTTCAGCTCCCAGAATTCCCCAGCCAGCCATTTGCTTTAGAAATTCATTCAAGAAGAGGAGAATTTTACAGAAAGTCCCAGCGGGGGAGCATAATATTCCAGAACTGATTTTTGTGATGTTGTCTGAACAAAGGCTGAGGGAGATATCGTCCTGCCTTTCAGTCCTGTCTCCCCCACAGGGGTCTGCAGCTTCTCTGGTTCCTCACTTTCTTTCAACCCCCAAGGAAGGTATCAACAGTCAACTCCTCCCAGCAGCCCTCTTGGTGCAATAACATGGAGGTGGGGGGAGAGCTGCTTTGCTAGAGAATTTCTCTTTCCAGCTGAGAAGCTGAAAGAAATCCAACTACTTTCTCTGCTAGAGAATTTCAAAGGGTCCTTTCTGCTCAGTTATTGTCTTAACCTTTGTCCACGGGATCTAACACAGAGTCAGTCAGTCAGTCAGTCTGCCTCTGTCTCTCTCTCTGGCTCTATAACTGTTTTGCAACTGAAAGCCCTTACCTTATTGCCCTGAGAATTGAAATACATTCTAGTAACCCTGGCGTTGCCTGCTTGCCGGAAGCACACCAACTGCTGGGGTCTGGTCCATTCAAACATTCGGACGCTGCCATCCTGGGCTCCAGTAAGATCTGGAAAGCCGTCCCAAGGGCAGAAACAAGTTGTTATTAACACATAATTAGTGAAAGGGAAGGAGAAACATGAACAGATCTTATCTTCAAGGCCCTTCACTAGACTGCTATAATTAACTGAACTGATATTCCACCTTTTCTCCAAGAGTTAAAGGTGGCCTACATCGAGTTCCCTGATCTGATCTCTAAGAAGTAGACTGAGATGAAAGAGGGTGATTAGTCCCAGGTCACCCAGTGAACTCTGTGACCAAATGGCTCTCTCTGGGTTTAGGTTTGACCCTTTCATCAACATTCTACACTGTCTCTCCGCCATTCGAGCTGTCAATCAGAAAAATACTTACAATATTGATGGATCGGGTGAGAAGTCATTCTTTTGACGTTGTTCAAATTCCGTTTGATGAGCTGCAGGCAAAAGAAATTAAAATCACAGTCAGATTTGTTGCTCCCCAGCCAACAGAATAGCTTGCTTTCACAGCAAAAAAAGTGTACGTCCTTGCAATATTTAATACTGAATTCCTGATGTACACTGAAGTGGATCTTGGGGCTATTTACTGCTGAGCAAACATGCTCCACCGAAGAATCAAAGCAACTTCCAGATTTTTTGCATTAGGGTTGGGGAGGAGGGCAGGGGCAAAGGGGGCCTCTTGCAGAAGTGTGGACAAAACGTCTGGAGTGCTCCATCCAGAACTGTGTGTTGAAACACTGCAACTTGGTGGCGGAGTACACATTAGATCAGGCCATTGACCCAACTTTCCATGGGCAAGTTATGGAGCAGAAGAAGCTAATTTAGCTCCAATCACTGTCAGCAATGCTCTAAATTTCAGACAAGAGTTTTAACTGTACTGACCCTATGAGTTTGCGTGCAAAGTGTCCCTCAACCACCAGGCAACTGTGCAACTGAAATATTTTAAAACCCCTCCGAGATTACTTGAGCTTTTAAGCAGCAAAGACAGGAACAGTTTAGGGATGAACATACAGAAATGCATTCTGAATTTGTGGATTCTGTTAACACAAGCAAAGTGCACACAGCTCCTGTATAATCAGGACAGGGACACGAATGATAAAAGGAAGAATCTGGTACTTAGTGCCATCTAGTGACTCCTAGATGTATATCATGTGATGGCATTTAGCAGACCTCATCTAATCCCAATGAGATTACAGGATCAGATCGATGCACTACCCTCTACAATCCCATGGGGGCGGTATAAAAATGTTCCTTTTCAGCAGCATTTATGCCCACGTGGAGGTGGCTCTGTGGAATCCCTAAGCCATAGGCTCCTTTGAGGTTCTTTACAAGGAATCCCGTAAAACCTATGTATATCTATCCCATTTTAAAGAACTACCCACAATGCTTATCTGTCACTTCTATCTGACCAGGACCCTGATGTATCTTTCCAGGTTGCCCCTGATCTTGTTCTATCCATCCCACCTACAACTGAAGATTAGTACAAATTTTGGTGATGGCCACTGTTATGTGTATTACTGTTACTATATTAATGTATTTTAGGTAATGTTATTGTATTATATGTCTACTTTTTAGTTTTATTAACAATAGTTCATAATTATAGGTTTATGTATTTTTATTGTAGTGTTCTCTGCCCTAAAGGCCATAATAAAGGTTTTGATTTGATTTGACTAGTTAGTGCTTGGAGATCCCAGGGTTGGACTGAGAACTCAAAAAACATGGAAGAAGTCTTTGGTAAACCTCTTTTACATGGTTGCCAAGAAAAAATATGTGGGTCACCAAGACTGGAGTTTGCTTTGGGGGAGATTTACCTTCCCAGTGATCACTGTACCAGATCTTTTTCTCATTTATGGAAAGAAGATGGAAAAAAAAATATTTGACAGTATTAAAATGGAGGAGAACGTGCAAAGGTGAAGTTACTTACTATACCAGCTCCGGTACTAGTCTGCCCACTCCCCAACCACGGCATTGACGAAGTTGACAAATTTGAAACATGCTGCATCTGAGCCACTGCAAAAGATGCAGCGCTAGGCTGGGTAAGTGTGGTGGTGGAACCGCGAAAATCAACATCATCTGAACTACAAAAAAAGGTGAAAATGGGATATTGGAATCTTACACGGCTGAGATTGAAAGAGTACCAAAATTGAGCATTCAGTAACTGGTGAGACTTCATGGGCCTAAGCAATGCTTAGCATCTTTAAAAAATGGACAGTTCGGGAAAACAAAGGACCAATGTTTAATTTGGACCAAAATTAAGTTTTTTGGGAGGAGAGGAGGCACAGCGAGAGTAGGACAAAGATGCAATTTGAACATGGTGGTGGACAAAACAAAAGATTGGAAAGTCGTATCTTTTGCACTTTAGGTATTAATTAGATTTCCCTAAGACTTGTAAGAGTTAAGAAGTTGGACTGCATCTAGGGAGAACTGGGTTCAGATCTCTGCTTGACCATGGAACTGGTGGGCTGACCAGCAGGCCAAGCTACCTTACAGGGCTGGCAAGAGGAGCGGAGTCCTTCCCTTGAACTCCATGAAGAAAAGGGGGGTGGGTCCATTAGGATAACATCAGTAAAAACTGGTGAGACCATCCAACCTTTTGGATTCCCTGTCAAACTCTTCTCCAATCCATATGTATGGCTGCGCGGCCAAGAGAGCCGAGACGTCCAGTTCTTGCACATCGTGGGTAGACGCTAAAACGATCTCATTGATGTTTGCCTGCACAAAACCCCAGCCCCCCAGGCCAAAGCTTAGGTGTTAGAGGGTTTAAGTTGAGCAAAAGGTTAACACAAGAAAGGTAGCAACCTTCAGAGGGCATTACCTTATTCACTGCAAATGCCAGGATCATATCTGATTCCTTGTGTATAATTTTGGCTCTTCCTCCTGGGTAGCCTAGTTCTGCCTCCACCTGGAAAACAGAAACCATCCTTTGCAACAGGTGCATTAAAACACAACACAGAAGCGAGCGGACAGTCTAGAAAGAGACACACAAGAGAAGCCCAGCAGCTGTGGCTCTTTTTCAGAGAAATGGGTCTTTCCACAGCACGTATTCCTCTGAAGCCAAGACATTTCCATCCCACGCTCCAGCATGCAGGCTGGTACGCAGAGGACTCGATCCTTGGTTTTCACATGACCCCCACGTGTATCACCTCCAATTGTTAGTAGAGGGGGTTAAACATCTGGGAGAGAATCTCAGCGTGCTTGTTATTTTTGCATTAGGAAAAGCAAGGCAGGAAAGTGAGCCTCGGTGCGGTTTTTTAAAAGTGATAGTAAACATTTAGGGAGATGGGATAATACCTTGGCTTTGCCATCTTCTGCTACGCTGCTCTGTTTTGTGACCTGCTCCTCACGGTCTTCCACAGACTACACAACAGCACACAGTCACAGATGAAAACACATGCACAAACACACACATATATATATAAAAAGAAAAGAAAATGAAAAACCTTCCATGTCAGTGGTTAAATGGACACCTTGTTCTTCATAATACCTGTTCTTGATGACCATGGTGTTTTTTTTTTTTTTAAGGAGAAGGGGACTGAAATGGATTTATTTTGAAAGCAGTGCCAGGTGGATGAATGGAAACTCAGAAGATACAACAAGCAAAACGAAGCAAAATAACATGGGCAAATTTCATCCTAGCAGGATGTTTTAATCTATAGTCTTGCTGGGCCCAATTTTCGTGTTCTGAGAATGGATTGCATGCAGGATGCACGCCCTCCATCAAACCAATGTATCATCAAACCAACGTTCAGCGGCTCATCTGGATGGAGGAAGGATGAGTTTTAGGCCATCCAGATGTTGCTGAACTCTAGCATCCCTCACTACTGGTCAGGCTGATTAGGACTTTTGGGAGTTACTCAGGAGCACCTGTAGTTTCCCAAACTTTGCCCAATGTATTTGCCCAACATATGGGCCCCTCATACCTATCAATTTTCTCCTTCCGTTTTGATATAGGAATAAAGAGGATAACATTGAACCAGTATCCCATGTTTTACTCAAACTGTGGGTGGCTAAAAAAGGAAGCGTTGTCCTAAATAAGTGTAAGATTAATATGTTATTTATTTCTGAAACTGAAAGGGTGCTGAGTGCCCTAAACTGGATAAACTATGCCAAAAATGCAAACACAGCATGTTCCTACTGCCAAACTTTATGGTTGGGCGATTCGGGCATTGTCACTGTAAGCATTTATTATAATTTATTTTAAGGTGAGTGTTAGGAAATCCCTAAAGTTCTTGTGTGGCTCTAGCCCAGTAACTTTTGCCAATATTTCTTCTCCTAACCATCCTAGCTCAGATGCATACAACCATCACAACTCACAAGGAGGCTTTCCATACAGATCTATGATTTCCCTATCATCTTTAATCCAATGATGCCATATAAATGTATCACCTGCAACAGGATGACTGGAGCAAAACTATAAGAAAACTTCTGAAGGTTGCTGGAAGGAAGACTTTTTTCCCCTTTTTTCTTTAAATCATAGGATATCAATGCCAATCACAAATCCTCAGATGTTGTTTCCTGGCTCTATCACCCCGTCAACCAGCACTGACTCACAGAAAGTTTAGTGCTGCAATCTAATGAAATCTAGGGAGAATAAATGCTTCTAATGAAAATATGCTCAACCCATTTCCTGTTTTATAATCCATCAGGGAAGACCCAGGATACAGCTGCATTATGTCCAAAATATCTGGAGGACAACAAGTTGGGGAATAGTGTAATGTAAATTAAATGGACAGCCACTGAAATAAATAAGGGTGAAACAAAGTGTCACTGCAAAACAGAACTTAATATGTTGATTTCTTTCACTAACCTCACTTTGCTTTCTCTTTTTGGTGAATGTGTATCGAATGAAAGTATCTTGCAATAGTTCTTGTTTCACCAGAAAATGCCACAGTCTCTTAGCTGGCAATGCTGAATAATCTTTTGATCTATGAGGTGGTAGAAGGAAGAGAAGGTGTTACCACGGTATTTTATTTCTTCAATCGTGTCAAGAAAGGACAGAATCAGAATAAAACACAGTTACAAATTGTCGCAAATTCTTAACATGGATGGTCCTTATTTTTTGCTGTTAAAAACACCATTTCCTCTTTGGAAATGTCTCATCTAAGAAGCTATCATTCACTGCTAAGCATGAGATTAAATAACTGGAGGTAATTAGGTCTAAAAATCAAGATCCTGCCTGCACAAGATCAAGAAGGTTGTACTTTCACAAATGATCAAAGCTGATAAGGAAGTTCTAAGCATCCCCAGAGTGGGATTGACTACGAAGAATTTCCATAAACAAATGACTTTAATGAGCTGTCTTCATTCAATCATGACTTTACATCTGCTAGTAAAAGAGTTAAGTTACTACAGGTTGAGTGTTCAAATGTTCTTGGAAACCTAGATCAATGTTCCTCAATCTGGCACCCTTCTAGTGTGTTGAGACCATTCACACTTCTCAATATTTCCAGCCACTATGGTCAAAGGCCAGGCTAATTGGAATTCTAGAAGCTGCATCTCCAATACATCTGGAGAAGAATGATTGGACAGTGTTGATTCTTATCAAAGCTTAGAAAAGGCTTCCTTAACAAGTCCCTTCCAGATGTGCTGAGAAAATAGCCATAGCCAGGTCAGCTAGGAAATCTGGAAATTGGAGACATGACACATCTGGAAGACCAGCCTGAAATGTCTCCTCCTCCTTTAAATAAAATAAAATATGAAATAAAATGTTTCATACTTAAATGGTGTGTTTTCAGGATCAACCATTGCTTTAATTCGGGCTGCGGCTGCTCCGGCTCCCGTCCCAAGTTCAGGGAAACAGGTATTGATGTAATCTGGTGGGGGACCTTCAAAGTGGTTCATTCGTTCTTGCAGGATCTGTTCCCAGTTTTCCAAATTTTTAATCACAGCAGTACCCAGAGGTGACGTGACGGGAAGCTCTGAAACATGAACGTTTTTGCTGTTTGTTTATCCCAAACAAAACATGCATCCAGCTCTGGATACCCCCTTTTGAGGAAGATTCAGGGCTTTTCCATGCTGCAGCCTCAAGCTATTTCCCTTTCATAGATATATCACTTAGAAATAAACCTGGTTTATGAAAGCTTTCTTTGGATTTCTACTCCTTCCTCTGCTTTGGTTGCGGTGATGGCCCAATTTTCTATCCAGGTTTACCACAGCCCCTAATGGATGGATTCCCCTGCTCCTTTACCTTTCCTACTTACTATATTTTATCTGTTTTATCTCATCGTAGTCTATTTTATCTCATTTTACTGTATTACACTTCACTCCATTTTATTGTATCTTATTGTGGCTGATGTCCAGGCTTGGATATGGTCCACTGACTAATCAATAAAGTAGACCTACCTACTTTTACTTTTCCTAGACCGGTCCAAAAGAAAAAGAAAACACCAGTTTTACCACTTTTTTTCTAGTCACTTAAGCTAAAGGGGAAAGTGGCAGAAGTCTTATCCATTTCAGCTGGTTTGAAGAAAAAAAAAGGACAGGTGTTTCACTGTTCCATCAATGAATCTGAACCTGTTGTTTCACTGTTTCATCAATGAACTTGTTAAAGAAAAAAAAAGGGGGGGGGAGACAGGTGGAGCCCAGTTTTCCAATGTTTGAGGGATGAAATTATTAAAACAAAAAACGGGCCATGGAGGACAGGGATCAGGGCCTGGGAGGGAAGGGGCCTTCCTGCCACAGAGCACAGTAGCCAATTGAATGGAGGGTTTGCCCAATCAGAAACCGTCCTGTGGCCATACAACAGAAAGACAAGCAGAGGTGGTATTCCCAGTTTGCTGAGGGCAGAAATGGACCAATGGTCACTGGTTCAAACTCATCCTGGGGCAAGCTGGTCATGTGGATCGTTCCCTGATCAAGCACAAGAAATTCTGACATCTCTTTAAAAAATTCTCCTGGATGCCAGACAAGGCTTATTTATGGCTTTGAGGATATTCTTTCTCTTCCCTGCCCAGTTCAAGCTTTTTCCTTTGTTCCTATTTTGTTTCCTAGAATTCTTTTAATTTTACGGCTTCTTTCCAAATACACAATTTATTATTGGACTAGTGGAGGCCGCTTCATCTTGGTTGCAGCGGTGTCTGTGTGTCCATAAAGTCAAGATGATTGCCATGAACAGGGTGTGGCCAGGAGGGCCGTGGGCGAAATCCCACCCTTTCTAATGTGCATTAAATACACAATACATGTAAATAAGGGGTAGGGGTTTGATCGTATAGTTACAACTGCCACGTTGACTTTTTTGACCCCCTTCGGCAGATATCTCTGCCTGGCTTCTTCTCCATTATTTTGCGTTTGTTCTACTTTGCAGTTTAATCTGGTCTTCAGGATGGCGTTGGGTTGAGTGTAATGCAGGACAAACAAAAATAATACACAAATTTCACTGAATTCATTATATTTAAGTTGTCAGGTTGAAGAATACAGAGTGTGTGCGTCTGATCATCAGAAGGATAATGCAACTCACCAGATAATTCCAAGCCAGTAATGGGGAAAAAGTTCTTAATATTGTTCAGAGCAAGTTTTACCATTGCCAAATGGATAAGGCCCCAGCTGCAGAAAAGAGGAAATATAAATGTTTATGTAGCGAGGGGAAAAAAATCAGATATATACAGTGTTCAAGGGTCATCACCCCAACCACATTTGAAAGGAAAAATAAATAAAGGAAGAAATTGAATATTAAGGTTAGATTTTGGTCCCTTGCCAAAAGGTTATGCCTTATGATTGGATGTTCCATCTTTTACAAGCTAATTAACATCCCAATCCTATATACCAGGCTTTTTCAAACTTAAATAATTACAACCCACCTACTTTGGCTGACAGACAGGCTTTCTCCTAGGGGAATATACATATGGCTGTAGCAAAATAGGTGGTTTTGTAGAAGTATCAAAAGGACATGTCCTTGTCTGACTGACTGACTGACATGTCCTTGTCACTGTATCTTAATAACTAAAAACCAAAAAGAAGCCAGATTTTCTTTTTTAAAAAAAATCATCCTCTTCCAATACTTGGACCGAGAAAGGAAACTGTAATTGTAAAAATTAAACCCATCAGCCAGACATTTGAAGAAGAGAGCTAGAAGTGTCAGAAGCACAAGACACTGACTTTCCAACATTAACTGAATCAAGGATTACAAAGTGCACTTGTTATAAAGGAAACACCCTGTAAAACTCAGTGGGAGTTACTACAAATCATTATTTATCCAAGCTGACTATCAAGGGTACCACAAGCCTATGAATACAGCTATAGTAAAGGATGGCTTTGAAGCATGTTAGGTGACAACCTCACAGCCCTTAAGCAGGTTTCAGTCTGGCCAATGCTTAGCGCTTCATAATGGACGTGTTGTCAGCAACCACCTATTCTGATACAGCTAGTCCTCACTTACTGACCACAGTTGGGATTGGCGACTCTGACGCTAACCAATGTGCTTGTAAAGTGAAAAGTCACTTGACTGCGCCCAACTTATCATGTCAGTTTGTCAGTTCCGGCTGTGGTTGTTAAGCCAATCACCGCGGATCGTTAAGTGCAATGTCACATGACTGCGACTTGCTGCCAGCTTCCCCGTTGACTTTGCTTGTCAGAAGCTGGCAGGGAAGGTCACGAATGGTGATCACATGACTGTGGGACACTGTGACCACTGTAAATACGCGCTGGTTGCCAAGCACCAGAATGGTGATGACATGACTGCGGGGATGCTGCGATGGCCACAACTTTGAGGACTGGTCCTAAGTCTCCTTGTTCAGTGCTGTTGTAACTTTGAATGGTTACTGAACGAGTGGTCAATAAGTGAGGAGTATTTGTACTTGATCTTTCCAAGTCCCTCGCCCCCAAAAACAAAACAAAATTGAAGCTTTGCTAGATAATTTAACTTTGGGAGACTTCCAACATTTCCTGGAAAACCAGTGAAACCTCGTGATATTTTGGCCTCATAAAGTATGTATGTTTATTCATTTGAATGACTGATGCTCTTGTATCTACAGGTGCCATGTTTCCAACTCCTGCCACCAAGTGTACAACACAAAGGTGGGCTAGAAAGGCAAGTGCATGTATCGTTTACAGCAGGAGAAAAACGGAAGGCCTTGGGTGCACTTCTGAATGTTCCAGCTCGGGGGTTTGCTACCTGTATGAACTGGCATCCTTGTGCTCCAGAATTTGCATATCAGAGAGGAAAGCATCCTCATCTTCGTCCTCGCTATGAATGCTTTCGTCAGAATCGTACATCACCCCACTGTCTGAAAAAGGAAGGAAGGGCTGTAAAGGAAGGACAAAGAGAGGCTTCAAAATGGGCTCTTCCATCATGTTCCAGACCTCGCTTGCACGCAAGTCATTCATTTCAGAGACATGGGAGGATTCTGGATGTCACAAAAAATTCCCTAATGGGAAGAGCTGTTCAACAGTGGAAGAGGTATCTTGGGAGATGGCGGACTCTCCTTCAGCGGCTGCATGACCGTCAGGGACACCATGATCATGGATTCCTACATTAGGAAGAGGTTGGACGAGCTTAAGTTTCCTTCCAACCCTTAACCTTTTAGGATTCTATGAAAAGGGTTGGAAGGGAAATGGGAATGGACTTCCTGCTTCACAGAACTGAGTCAGGCCTACTTCTGATATTCAGTGGGAGCTTACCTTAGCCACAAAATAGTCTAACATGCTGAGCTCTGGGGGGATGAATTTTTCTTTGTAAGAAGGTCTTTCTGCAGGGACCGGGGGAGGGACCACGCTCTCCTTGACAGGTCTCCCAGGCACCAGCATTCTCATGTTGAATCTCCGGCGATGCTTATCTGTGTCTTCTGAAGGGACTGGAGGGGCTAAGGGAGAGAGAGTTCAAAGAGCTACACCGATACATGAAGACAAATTCACACATTCATCTTGGAACTTCCCATATCCCTTGTCAACAGAAAGCATGGTCTAATCATATGTCAGGGTTTGCTAACCCATCCCAATCTCTATTTCAGAGGAAAGAAAAGCCTAGATACCTCCATTGATTCTTGCAAGAGAAAGGATAGAAAAATAACATGCAATCCATGCTCTGTTTCAAATCTTTTTTAACTATGGCTAAACAGTCAATAGAATCAGCCATGCTGTCCCAAAATCGATCTTGTGATTTCTCCATACTTCTGTTCTTGAAAAAGGGGTCTTTTTCTAGCTTTTTTTTTTTCCTCCTGAGAATTTCCTTCCAATTTCTTTCAGGGGTTTTATGAGCTAATTATGTTGTTGGAAAAGAGTGTGCTACTACAGCCTCCCTGGTTGGGCAAATGTCTCCATTTGGAAAAGGCCCACAGGAAGAATTTCCTTCTGAAATCTTCCTTTAGGATTAAATCAAAATTAGAGAAAGCAAGAAGGCTATAGACTACTGGAGAGATTTTAAATTGAAAAACCTCTTTTCAACATCCTTGAAAATACCCTTTCAATGTCTTGCAGCTGTGGTAGATAGGCAGCCACATCTTTTATGCCCCTGAAAATTTAACTAAAAACGTTCTTTCAAAAGCAACTCTGTCTCTCATTAAACTGAATGTGAAAGCTTAAAAAATATCAGACAATATTTTCAGCTCAGTGTTCAGGATGCATCCCCTTTAATCCAAGCTACATCTGAACCACTCATTTTTGGGTTAAAGTCTGCAAAGAAGCCGTTGGTTGAAGCACATGTCAAAATCATCACTTGACTAATTCAATCTCTGTAATTTGAGAGTTTCTGCAGCATCAGGATTGTCCTATGGTGCTGAGTCTGTGTTTGGCTTGAATCTGGATTAGGCTGCACTGATCTGGAATACTGAAATCTAAGTGTACTGTTTGAAGGAAGGAATGCGACCTTTGTGAATGCCCCAATGGGACAGTTCGATTTAAAAAAAAAAATATCTAATTTTAAAAAAGTGATAATGTAGGAACAATAAAAGATTGCTAGTGAACCAAGAATGATAACAAACTCAATCTCTTGATTTGAAGACAGTCTCTATTTTGGCTCATCAAATCTCCCTTCATGAAAAAAAAAGAAAAAACAACAGATAAAGGAGAACAGCCACGTCTCAAAACAAAGGGAAAGATTAAAATCCATGCCACAGATCCAGGACTGGACCTATTCTTACACAACTATCAACCACATGCCCACCAGCACACAGGTTTCTCACCATCCTGCTGGAGCAGAGGCCAACTACCACAGCCAGCAGTGATCTGGTCGGTGCTTGATAAAGTAGTGTGTTGGGGTAACTCTGGATTTGCAAAGGGCGCTATGGTTTCTGTGTGGGTGGTGAAGTGCTGCGGTTTATCTGAATCGAACAGATTAGAAGGTGGATGATTCTAAGAAGCTCTGCAGGTTGGAACTGTACATGCTTGCATTGTGAGAACGGGCAGAAAATAGGGATGTTGGGATCAAGCAGTTAAAAACTCAATATCTCTCCGCCCCACAAATAAACAAACAACAAACTGATGTGGGTCTTCCGGGCTATGTGGCTGTGTTCTGGAAGTTTTGGTTCCTAACGTTTCGCCAGCATCTGTGACCGGCATCTTCAGAGGACAGGAGCACAGACAGGAGCAGTTCTCTCTGTGCCCCTCCTGTCTGTGCTCCTGTCCATCAGCCATTGTATTCCAGCCGTGAAAGCCTTCGACAATACAAACAACAAACTCTCTCTAAGAGTAAGAAAAGCAAAGATGCATGTCGAAGTGCTGACTCTTTTGTCCTGCTTCTGTCAGATGTTTAGGAGAGAATATTTCAGTTAAGCCACAATGTGGTTTGGGAGGCTGTGGCTTGCTTAAGAACTCACGCTTAAGGAAAACAGGACTTAGCATGATGTCAGTTATGGCCCACCCCACCGGACTTCCTACTTAGCTTCCTCTGAGGTTCTACCAACTCCCTCTATATGAATTTTTGCTTACTGCCAGATGGCCTAGAAACTTACAAAAATGATATGTAAATTCCATACCCAATACTGTTATCTTCTGACAGTAGTTAACATTTCCCTTGATTGACAGTCTGTTGACACTATTATTTTATTGACAGCATTGTTTATTCTTTCAGCTTCCTCTAGGAGCTCATGATGGTGGAACACAGTCCTCCAATTTTTTCCACAACAAGAAGACTTGGGAGTAGGTCCAAAGTCCCCCAGTAAGCTTCCATGACTAAGGTGGACTTCAACCTGGGTCTCCCTGTTACTAGTTTCACACCTTCACCCCTACATCAGTTCTCCATAAACATATGGTTGTGGTTTCCCACTGCCTTCTTCCAGGAAGTTTTTTCAACTCTAGACCAGCTGATAGCCCTCCAGTTTCCTAGTGTCCTCCCATCCAAATTTGAACAAAGTCTAACCCTGATTTACGCTGTGTCTTATATGGGTGCTTTTGCCAGATGCCCCACCTGATTTTCTCCCATTCCCTGCTGCTTCCTCCTCCTGCATGGCAGGACACTGAGAAGAGGCTAGACTACAAGGAGGAGGTAGCATGAAATGAAACTCATTCACCTCCAAAAATAAAAAATAATAAAAAATTCAAAAATTGCATTAATGATTAAAAGGGTTGCTGCCTGCTCCATGTTTCCTATCTCCTCCAATAAAAGGAGATACTGTTTTTACTAACTGTGCACACCTTATTTTAGGCATATTTTACAACTTGCATGTGTGTAGCAAGAAGTCAAAGTTTGGTGGTACAACTGGAGAAGAGTCAAGGGACCACAACGAAACAGCCCTGGGGAGGGAGATTGCTCAACTTTGATTTCAGGACTAGGAAGGGCTCTATTCTGATTGTGAGAACTTCTCCCACATTCATAATCCTTGAAGAGTTACCTGGAATATTTTCTGATAGCCGTCTGGGTTTAATCACAAGTTTCACTCCTCCTCCAAAGACTGCTGCCCACATTCGATTGTTCAGAGGATGGGCTGCCAGCCGGAATAATTCATTGCAAGCATTTGTTGCAAGAGCATGGATCAGAAGACTCAGGTACACGGCCACCACAGCTTCACAGAGCAAGATATTTAACTTTGGGTGATCTTCATCCTGAGCTGTACTTAAAAGATTGAGTAGGGAGCTCACACCTGCAAAAAGGTAACAGGAGAACTTCTGATGGGGAGCGTCTAGGTGTGATTTTTTTCACCTATATTAGCCACTAAGGACAACCACAGGACATCACCAAAGCATCGTTCAAAATCTCACCCATTTCAAAAGAAGGGAGTTAAACACACGCTTCACATATTCAAAAACAGGGTGGCATAAATTCATGGAAGATAGATCGATTAATGATCCTTTTCATAATAGCTCTTTGGAAGTTTAAAGGATGCTACTGAACAATCAAGAAGATAAGAATAAGGGTGGGCAAATGTTTCAAATTCAAAATGTTTCAAGCTTGAAACAGTTGATTCAATCTTATTGGGAAAGTTCTGAGCTTAAAATGGTTTTAGTTCAGCTCAAAGTACTTGTTTTCAGCTTGAACCATTACCAGTTCAAAATAGTGAAGGGCCTTCACATCCACTGAATGGGCTCTTGGGCAGCATCCTACTGAATGTGTGAAGGCTGGATGCTGGACTGGATGACAGACCAGGTTTGCACCATCAACTAAACAATCGGTGTTCCCATTTAGCATGGCATGCTGTAATGGCATGTGGGAAAGACCTTGGGAGGCTGGGCAAAGAGACAGTGCCAAGAGAATGGTCAGATAAGAGACAGCATAGCCCACAGCTGGAAAGTGGGTGCAGCAAGAGGCTCAGAAGAGACTCTTCCTAGTTTCTTGGGCAGTAAAGGAGATGGAGGGGAGAACTGTACTTTCAGACTTGCAAGATTGATGTCGGCCTCATGGGTTAAGCCAGATAGGAATCGCAACCAGATGAGCTAATTCGACTTTATAGTAATGCTATTTTGACAGAATCTTGCAAGTCTGAAAGTACAGTTCTCCCCCCACCCCACCATCTCCTTTACTGCTCAAGAAACTAGTAGAGAAGATCTCTTCTGAGCTTCTTGCCCCACCCAGTGTCCAGCTGTGGGCTATGCTGTCTCTTAATTGACTGTTCCTTCGGCAGCGTCTCTGCCCAGTTTCCCAAGGTCTTTCCCACATGCCATTACACATGCAAATGCAAGTACATGGCTATGATGTGGTTAAGACTAAGAGCCGTGGCTTGTTCTTGGCTTTCCCAGGCCATTTGGGGATTCCCATGACCTGTGGTTCTCTTGCTCCACCTATGGCTTCCCATGTCTATCTGCAGCTTCTGTGAATACAGATCAGTGTTTAGATGACGCTTAACTCAGTTATTCATCTGCCCTAAAACCCCCTTTGAAGTGGAACTGATCCTTCAGCAGTGTCTTTACTGCTCCCTTTTGCTTCCCACACCTTTGGGTATGCAAGGAATTCTTTTTAGGAGCAAAGTATTATTCTTCCTCCACTCTATGTGCAGCAGGCTCCAACAAGTGCCTGCATTTCCCATGTGCCTGCATTTTTCCTTTAGCAAAAACAAAGATGGATTGACTGCCAGTGACACACCTGTGCTGGACAGCGTCAGGTCAACAGGATGGGACATGGAGCCCAGCCAATGCCCAGTGCCAGAAATTAATTTGTTGAACAGAAAATGCAATTCAACCTTATTAGCACTGCAACGTGATAGCTTTATTTCGGTCTTTGACCAGAATAAAATAAAAACACAGATGGAATTAACAGGCATAACACAGAAACAGTCTACATCTAAAAACTATATGAACAATGACTCTAGACTTAAAAAATGGGGAAATAAGAGTTTTGTGTCTGCCATTCAGCCCAAACCTGTAAAAGCCACAGGGGTATTTAAAATTTTAAAAAAAATCAAGTATTGAATATGTTATAATGAAATAGTATACTGTGCTGTCTAATGTTCTTTGTTCTAAAAGATTTAGCTACCTTATTAGCATGAACGGACCCCTATGTCCAATTAAACCCCACTGAACTGGATTGCACTGTGAGTTGGTTTTGCTCAGAGATGCATAATAAGAGAAGCAGTTGTAAGAATAGAGGTGCTGAACTATTTATGAAAGAACCAGCAATATCTATGTCATGGGAAGAGAGCCAAAGAAATGACTCCTTTGCACCATACTCAAAAAGCAACTGCAATAACAGAATGAATGAATGAATGAATGAATGAACAAACAAACGAACGAACGAACGAATGAATGAATGAATGAATGAAAGAAAATAATTTGGCCACTGCAAGATCATGGCGAATGCAGTCCATAGGAACCTAATTCTCCTAGAATTTCAGCACCCAAAGGAGTGATAGAATGCAAGGCAACAAATCTTCAAAGAAGAGCATCTTTATATCATCATAAGAAATTCTACAAGCCTGCTTCTTTTGAAAATAAAGAATGCAGTTAGATTCAGTTTCCAGTTTTGTAATTTAAGATCCAGGGTTCGGTCATAAAACATTTTTCTGTTGTGCTGTGATTCCAAAATGGTGTAAATATTAACTGAAGGCTTAGCCACATATCTTTAGTTTCTGAATGTTACTTGCTAGTTTCTGACTGTTACTTGCTAGATATTACGAATGGGAGAACGCAACACATTGAAGTCCTGTTTGCCGTATTCCCAGAGACATCAATCTATACAGATCTTTCTTCCAATACAAAAGGACTGAGCTGATCTTCTGAACTTTCCTGCCGGCTCAAATTCTAACTGACTGACATAGACACACTTCCATGGAATCACAGACACGCATGGCTTTTCTTACCAGGCCACTGAGCAGGCAACGAATTCGGTGTGACGTGTTCTTCGATGCTCTCTGTCCTCAGACGGCGACGGTCGCTCAGCAGTAGCCCTTGGTAAACCATTCCTGTGAACTGATTTGTTTCTGTCTGACTGCTAAGAAGAAGTTTTAATTTTTTCTTCACCTCAGAATAGAAAATCTTACACCAAAGCAAAGTTGGCAGATTAGTTGCAGGGGGTATTTCAGTGGTCTAAGCACAAAGACTCTTGAGTCAAAAGCTCTAGAATGGCCTTAAGAAGATTGATTGATTGATTATTTATTTATTAATTATATAAAAAATAAAAAACCATACACATACGAGTGTATATGTATATGTATGTATGCGTGTGTGTGTGTGTGTGTGTATGGTTTTTTGCTCTTGTCCTGGATGATCCAGCCCCTTTCCCCATTTTCCATTATCATGTTGTGCTAAGCCAGAATCCTTCATGATTATCAATGCAAGCAACCTGCATATTTCTGCAAGCAGAAGCAGATGAAACATCCACAGACCTGGCTCCACTGGTTCATTGACTAGGATGTGCAATGCTATGATCTGATGATTCTGTTCAGAGGTGATTTGACTACATCATCCTGCCAGCCCTTCCAGGTAGTCCACACCAGGAAACCAAGGTTATGAATGCTAATACCCCTTTTATCATAAGGTTATAGTAACAAAACCTTGCAAGTCAGAATGTGCAACTCCCCTCCCTGCCTTTATGTTCAAGAGAACTAGGAAGGGTGAAGTCTGAGACACGTTCTGAAATTACATTCCTGCTTTGGACTCAGATTTCTCTTAACTGATCATTGTCTTGGTTGTGGCTCTTCTTCTTGTTCCTCAAGGTTATTCACAGCCCATTACACATTCCTTTGAACCCAACCTTTGTCTCAATCAAATGCATGCCTTCTAATTAATTAGAAGATCTAATGGATTTCCATGTAAGGCTTCCACTAGGTGGGTCAAAATCTGCAAGATGCGGGGCATGGTGTTACAATTCAAGTCACACCCCTTTTTATTGCGCATACCAAAGGGCAGGGCTTGCATCACAATGCCACAATGCCTTCCATCCTGAAGATTTTGACCACCAACTACAGACACCACTAGAAGGGTGCACAGATATTTTTCAAATCTCTGAATCCCTGTTTTGCTTTGAATTTGAACCAAATCAACTCAACTCATGAAACTAAAAAATCAAACTAGATCATGTTTACCACTCAACCAAAAGCAAAATTTGGTTTCCACCCTCCCAGCCATCAAATCCTGCCTTTAGCTCTAGGTGAGCATGTTTAGGATTACAACTAATCTGTAGCAACCTCATGTTTTGAACCACAAAGGAGAACAATACAGCTATCCTGGGAAGAAGAAAGAGCAAAGAAAATCTTACCTGTAGCTATGGCTGTCGCATAAGGCTTGATAAATAGATGCAGAAAGGGAAGCAGCTAAAGAATAGAGAGTATGGACCTAAAAAGGAGGCAGAAAAATGGTTAGGATATGATGAATACATTCCAATGAATTTTTGCACAATTTGATTTTCCGAGCAAAAGTGCTCCATAAAAGATGCAAGTGGGTGTGTTTGTGCACGGACTAGTGTGAGAGTGCAGCAGGATCTATGCTTCCTATTAGAGCATGGCATCCCTCATAGGAATTGACCTGGTGCATCGATTGGAAACCTGGATTTGGAGCGGGAATGAAGGGATGCAAAATCGTATGTAACAATAATGCTGGGTGATTGGACTGGTTACATTTTCTCAGTCTTTCATTCAAGGCTCTGGTGAAGAAATAAGGAGGGTGAAGTGAGCCACCCTTTTTGGAGGTAGGGTGGGAAAAGAAGGAATCTAAGTCAGGGTTGGGAAACTGGAGCCCAGAGGGAAGTCACACTTCCACTCTAGGCTGCTCTGGTGAGACGGCCCCTGGAATCCCATTCTGATTGCCACAATACAAGAAGGACGCCAAGGAACAGGAAAGAGGACAGAGAAGAGTAAAAAAGATTGTGGGGGGCTTGGGGGCTAAACCCTATGAGGAACAGCTAAAAGAACTGGGTATGTTTAAGGCAGAAGGCTAAGGGGAGATATGAGAGCAGTTTTCCAATACCTGAAGGGCTATCCTAAGGGAAGAGGGTGTGGATTTATTCTTTGGGGTGCCCGAGGGTAAGATGAGAAATAATTGGCGGAAGCTTTATAGGGAGAGAGATCCAAACTTGAAATAAGGAGGAGTTTCATGACCTTGGGAGCTATTAAGCAGTGAAGGAGCCTGCCTCTTGGAGTCTGGGGTGTTTCCATCACTGGAGGTTTTCAAGCAAAGGTTGAACAGCCACTTGTCTGGGATAGTCTGAGGATCTTTGTTTTGAGCAGAAGATTGGATGAAAAAACCTTCAAGGTCCCTTCCAATCCTATGGTTTTATGGTTCAGCTGTACCAATACTACAGCTCCATGCAGCCCCTGCCCATATAGCCAATGATGAGGAATGCTGGGAGCTATAGTTCAGCAATACACAGAAGACCATGTGTTTCCTGTTTTTGATACAATGCAACATGAAGAGATCAGGCAGACCCCACCCAAACTCATAGACATAGAAGCTCCACGACCACTTTCTTGAATCTGCCCCTTCCAGACATTTTGGGTGTGCCATTCCCAGCATGCCCAGCTAACCTAACCTTAGGTGACCTCACCTTGGAAAAGCTATTCAGAGTGGTGATGTCATTGTGCAGATAATGATTTTTGCAACGTCCCTTCCACGCTAAAGGTAGATTTTCCCATTTTATTACCTTGACATCTTCGACGTTGGGATGTGGGGGCATTTTCATCTGGACAATAGTGTAGAGGATATCATGGATGTGGTTGTTTAAGTAGAGGACGGGATTGGCGATCACTGTTTTTGTGGAAGCAATGCTGGCTGAAAGTAGTGGTAATGTTGTGGGGAGTGGAAGTGGTGACTGTAGCTGTTTGACAGTAGTTTCCTGATAGGAGGAAAACAAGAAAAATAAAATGGCAGAACCGGGAATATACCATTGCTCTTAGATGATATAAATACATCTCTCAAATTTCAGAAAACAGTGAAATAGAGTTCCCTTTTCCTTCCTTCATTGAGTTTGGTGCTCAAGACTCAAATGAAAAAAACTTTCTCAAATGAAGCTTTTTCAACCATGTACATGGCCAAGCTCACTGCACAAGGACTACAGATTTTAGAATGCTCACACAGCTGAACACTTCTCTTGGCCAACCCTCTACCCTTTCTCCATAAAAGATGGACATTTGAGAAGCCGAAGTGGGAAACCAACAATAGAGGAACGTAAGATCCAGATTAATCTCCTTCCAAATGTAAGATGGCTGTTTAGGAATGGATGAAAGGGGTGATAATCAATGTATGCGTGTTTGATGGATTGACTGACTCAATCCATCAAGGTATATACCACCCTATCTTGTGACTCTTGGGGGTTAGCTCTAATAAAAATTTTATGTTTTAGCATATGGCCCCAAATACTCAATGGTCTGCAAAACTGATGTTTTGGGCAACGTACAAATCGATTACTTATTGATGTAAGTTAGCTATGGATGTTTACAATGAACTATGGTCACTGAAATGTTTATGGAGAATTTTGTGGGGAGATGGGCGGGGACAAATTAAATAAATAAATAAATAAAATAAAATTATGTAAGTATAAAACATGATCAATTACAAAATACCACTAAGAGCAGATAAAATGGAAAGGCTCCTATTGCTACCCACTCTAGCCCTTTTTTTTGAGCATGTTTCTAAAAAAAAAAGTCCATTTTGGGGAACAATATCTTTAAACAAGGCCCAAAGGTATTCTTGGAAATAAAGACTGAGATAGAGGCTGAAGCTTTCCTGAGTAGCAGATAGGTTTCCCAATTATCTTTAAAAACAAAATTGAAAATCTAGATAAAAAATAAAGTTGGGGGATCATGTTGCCATGGGATGTATCTACAACTGGCATGCTATGTGCCTTAAGTCTACAATTTTGCTCTTCTGGGCAGCCTAAGAGGCGTCTGACCATCGGTGTTTGTTTTGATGTCCCCTCCCATTGCTGCAGTCGGAACAGAAACGAGCACCAGCGTCCAACCTGGAACCAAAGCAGAAATGTAGTGATGATACTAAAATCTAGGATAAGCCTTCTTACCTGCTGAGACTCCTGCAACAAGAACTTCAGCTCCATTCTTACGGAAGCCAGACCACCTCCTTGTGCCCCATGAAGGCTGCAATAGCTTAGGAAAACCCGGAGAAGTGCCTGGTTTTTCTGAAGCCACCATTTCCGCCGCTCGGCATGCTCCCGCTTGGCTTGTAACCGTCGCCGCTCAATCTGATGCCACTCATAGGAGCCCATTGCCATCTTCTCCCCCATCTCTTGGTGACCTAAGAGATCCCCGCTGACCTGGCTATCGGTCTGACAGTCATCTTTGCCCTGGGCCTTGTGGTTGCAAATTTCATGCAAGGCAGCAATTTCTTTCTCCAGCCAGTTGTACAACTGGAAGCGGAGTTTCCCACCATCTACTTCATAGCCGGTGGCCAACGTTCTCAGCTCTGTCATGAGGATTTTTAAACAGGCCCGGAACTTGAGCTGTTCAGCAATCACATCGACCTCCATTTTGTCGGCTTCACCCTCCTCGCCTTGACTGGGGTCAGGGCTTTTTCCCTCTTGCTCTTTACTTTCCAGGTCTGCTTTCAAATCGTTCATTAGCAAACCTTCCTCCTCTTCCTCCTCAGGCAAACTGCTTTGGTCATTCTCCCAGTCAAGTTTCAGAGGTTCATCTTCAAACATTATCACTGGTTTGCTCCAGTCAATCAGGGATGAAGATTCTGTAGTGTCCACTGGCTGTGACCAACCTACAGTGCTACCTTCATCTAATACCTTTGGGTCTATTTTCACACCATTCTGCATTACTGGACTCAGACTGGATTCCTCTTTCTTGGGTGAAAGCATGGACTTGCTCCTTATTTTGGGAAGCTTTGAAAGGACTTCCAGGGCTAGGACAGGGCAACCTACTTTAAAATGAGCATTTGCAGTGGTGAAGAAGAGCTTTCTTTCAATGAGGTTAATCTTGTCAACAAAATTTTTCTCTGCCTGCAATCCCAAAGTAGCTAATGTCCCATCGGGTGAGCAGAAATTCCTTCGGATGAGCAAAGGGTGGGTACGCAGGTAGTTGTAGAAACTGAACACCACGGGATTGCAGGATTTGACAATAACTAGAGAAAATGGAAACAAGGTTGTTGAGGTTTACACTGAACATCTGTCACATCGAATTTAGCAGCTCAGTGCCCCTTCAGGACTGTGTCCTATGTGTTCAAATCAAGAAAGACACTGTTATTTGGAAGTGCTGCAAGATCTCTGCATGATCTATGACAGATAGATAGCTAGTTGTTTAATTACACAATCTTGCAGTTCTGGTAGATTCTGCAAGGCTGATGATCTGTAGACAATGCAGTAGGCCTTCACCCACATGAACCTACCTGTTGATTAAGGTATGTTTCTGAACCCATTTATGAATGAACCCCTTCTATAAAGTTAAGAAGGAAGATCCCCAAGGATCTTCTCTGAAGTGGCCCATAATTACATAAATCTAAGTGAGTTAGTGCAAAGTACTAGCAAAGTAAACCACGCTAGGTGCTCTGATGAATATACAGTATGACTGTCAGAATCTTGTACAAGTAAAAGAAATATATCTTTCTACATTCCCCATTCAAGACTGAGCTTCTTCAAATAATCTGGCATTTCTTCACCTGTATTTTCATCTTCTTCCTTGGGTGTTTGTTCCAGTAAGGTATCAAGGGCTCTTGAATACTCTTTCACTACCCAGTAGGCCAGACTTCTCAGGAAAGGATCTGGATGCAATTTTGTGCAACAGAACCCGGTTCCATCTTTCTTACAGCCCAAAATCTTTTCATAAAGGATGGCTGTGTAAGTGGACGAGATTTCAAACTCGGACTCATACAAGCGAGCAATTATTAAAGCCAGCTGGATGTCTTCCATCTTCTCAAGACACACCTGGGTGGTGGGGAGGGGAGTACAAATAACGTCTCCTAAATACTGTTTCATTTATTTATTAAAAAAAACCACAACATTATAACGCACAAGCCGGCATTAAAATAAGGACAGAGATTAGTAAAAGAAAGTCTGCTCTATGTCCCTAATACAATTAAAACAAATCATTTGTTTCAATTGGATGCTCACGCTGGTCACTTGATCTCTCAGTTAAATTCACGAAGGTGAATCTCCTCCAGATGGACTACAATTCCACAATCTTTTGAAGTCAGAAGCTGGAGAGCAGCAGGTTGTTTCTCAATGCAGTAAATCTATCATGTATTCCATTCTCTGATTACATGATTAACTCAAACCCTAAAATGCACCTGAGCCAAGTTAGACAAAGCCTTGCTAGATCAGAATGATCTAAAATTTGGCCACAAAGACAGGAGGTAGCTGAAGTCGGCCACCCTTCTTTGGACTATTGCTGAGGTCAGCGAGTTATCTTTTAACAGCCAATTACCAACCATGACATAGCCAGATGACAATCAAATAATCAATCAGGCCAAATCGCTCTTGAATTTTTTTCTTATATTGAGGCAGCATAAACAGCTGTGCCATTTCTGAAGCAGTATACTGGAATGTAATTAAAAAGGCATAACCCAACTATATGGATTTGCAATGACTAATGCTTCTGATGGCCCACATTTTTTTCCATAGCTGTACTGTTGTAAGATGTACTGTTAGGTGAAGGTCTTATTTCGTAAGATTGAAATACTTATTTCAGTCCATGAGTGTTCAACCCAATATCCATCCATCCATCCATCCATCCATCCATCCATCCATCCATCCATCCATCCATCCATC